TGTGAACGTGGCAATTCGAAAAATTGACGCAAAAAGCTCTGACGAGGATAAAAGCCGTAATTCACCCGCAGCTGATTACTGAGAGAATTCTTTAATTAATACAAATTACTGTTTCGTAAGCGTTTATTATATTGTCTTGAAAGTTAAAGCTTGTTTTCAATTTAAAACTTTAGAATTCATAGAATTATAGTCCTATCGAAAATACGCCATTTTTAAACAAGACTATACATATTATAATTACACACAAGCGTTATAAAAACCAGTATTGAAAAAAGTAACACTTAGCTCCAGAAATCATTGCTCGACAAACTCCACGCAATCGTTACATTTTAATAACTTTTTATATTATTTTTTCTTCTTAATAACTATATATACGTAATACGTATTTTTGCACTTCTTGCCTACCTTATCTAATTTAATACATTTTTTTTCTTTACTTACAGTGGTTGCCTGGAAGAGATCGCTCGAAAGCGATAAGGCCGCCAGTTGCCCTCCTTTACATTAAATTTTTTCATTGTAATGCAACGAAGTGTAAAAAAAATACAAAAAATAATTTGCAAACGAAATCGAACTCGGAATCTATAGAAACTCTCTTGGGGCGATAATATTTAGAACTAGTAAATATGGTTATTGTATAAAGAAGAGATGCAATATTCCATTACAATGATTCAGACTATCTATTACATATTGCCCTCTACACTATATGTGTGCGTCATAATTCTATAACAGTTTTTGACGATAACATTTTATAGACTCGATAACTTAATCTATCCAATTCGTAGACTATCCAAGTTTGCCTTCACCGTACGAGCGGGTATTAAATACGAAAGTAAATTGGTACACAGCCAGGAATCGAATCTACTGTTAAAACTTTTCTTGTGACGTTTCTTTTTTTGGTAAAAATTATTACCTTCTTACTGAATTCTATGGTTTCAAAATTAATCCTAACAAATTTAAGCAATAATCATAAGGTACGAACAAAGCATTTAAACTCAACTGTAACATCAAAAGGCTTTTACACGTATGCCGACAGTAAAACGTATTTTAATTAATCCAAGTTGAAGCCACGCCATGAATTATGACTTTATAATTCGAAAGCTCGCGTCTGTAGCAATAAAGTTTCCGCGACATTTATGTTCTAAATTTGAAATAGACAAAATTACTTTTTTATCCTTTGAATAAAGTTTAGGCCAGGTGGTTGTGTGGCTGCATACGTTGGAGGATTTTCCGCAGTGGTCTCAGCTACGTCATAATTTTTGCTCTGTGGTGGGTAATAACCTTGCTTTGCCTTGTGTTGTACAAAAAATGGTTGGCAGTGACGAGGTATGGAATGCAGTGGTATCCTTCTGTGGGCATGTTATGCTACAGAAGGAGACAGCAGAACGAGAGAGGGAGCGCTTTAGGACGAATCCTACGGGTAGAAGACGGGGAGTAAATAGGAGAAGATAATATGTCCATCTCCTACCTCCTTTGAGTGTAACATGCCGTTGAGGTGCCGGTAGAATGCGAATGTGGTTTTAGTGGGTATTGCTCACCCAGTCTACCCTGAATAGCAGATGTTTTGGTGTGGGTCGAGTCCCACATACCCCTGCAACTTTTGAGGGCAAATGCATTTCCACCTCGGATATAAAAAAAAGGTGTGGCTAAGCCATTTCGACTTAGGACGGTATATTATACTGTGTCAAAGACGGAGGTCGGAGACTTACAAAGAACGTGCAGGAATTTCATTCTTATATAGAATGCACGGAGCGACTAAAAGAACAAAATCAATTTTACGCGTTTTGAAACTCTTTAAATTGCCCAGATAAAACTAAAATAAATTGGCAGGAATACTATTCGCGTTTTCCTCTTTATGTACGACATTTTAGAATAAATAAATAAAAAAATATCATTTATTAATTAAGGTAACACAATTAACGTAAAAATTAATTCTATATTTACATATACTGCCATTTCTCAAATCAAGGGCGTAGAACAGACGAGCAGAAAGGGATACCAAGTTTTTAGTTTACAAGTAAGACATACTTTGAAGTAATTAATTATAATAATAAAATATTTACGTGATTGTGATGAAACAAGGCCGCATCTTAGAAAGATTTTCCTTGGCCTGCCTTGACTTCCAAGGCGAATTATAATCTTAGATAATGATTGAATTAATTTCTATTGAGTTAGCTTCATCTAATAAAATCTCTTTATTACCGCCTGGTTAAAAGTTAGATGTATCAAAATTAAATCTACTCTCAACCTTTTACTTTTCTAGTTTAACAGCTCTTAAGACTAGAACATGTATAATTCATAATTAAAAAAATAATCATATTAATATAATGTTTATGTCCATTATATATATGTACATAAAATATTGATGTGTAAAATTTTGGTTTTTATTGACTGCACTTTAATTTGTAATTTCAGTCCTAAACCGATTTCAAGTGGATTCAAAAATAGTTTAGATTTATAATTAGATGTATTTATTTAAGACCTGTGTACAGGACAACGTATGTCGGGTCCGCTGATAATAAAAATTTCCCTACCTCTAATACGGCTTGTACAACAACATTAGCAAGACTTTTTACAGTAAATTAATAATAAAAAATATATAATTTCTACCTGAAAGTAGATCTCTATAACAATAAACATTGCACACATAATATGTATGCATTGCATTGTACTGTACTGTTTCAAATTTAATATAAAATATATTTAATTATATTCTCAGACTAACAAAAGTTTCAAATTGCTTTCAACTAAAATCAAAGCCTTTCAATAAACAAACCTTGCCAAACTAAAACAATGATAAAATAATTGGAGAAATTTGCGAATAGATCAATTTAACATGAACAAGCTTAAATAATGGAACATTGTTTAAACAATTTAAATAAACAATTAATCTATCAGAGGATCTGAAGCTTTAAAAACAAGACTAATTTGTGGTGTTAATACTTGTTAAATAATTGTTGTTGTAAAATTTTTATATTTGTATTATCGGTTTAATTAGACTGATGACTCTTTGTTTTAAAGAAATGTGACCTATCACCTAACCACTGTAAGAACAGTTTAATAGTTGTTAATTTCAGGTAAGGGTTTGTATGAAAAATATTAGTACGCAAAACTATCAGGGCTGGTTCTCTGTAACTTCCAAAAGCGATACCAACGTTACTGTATGCAATTTCGATATAACTCTTTTAATAAAAGCATGTACAAAAACTCGGAATCGCTGTTAAATTTCGGAGTAGGAGTCCGGTTCTGTAACATTTTTCATACAAATTACATTAGTATTTAATAGTTGTCAATCCTATGGTAGAGCCACTGAGATGAAACGTCGACATTTAGAATTTGTAGTCTGTATCAAAAATTATATACATAGATACATATTAATTATAAAGATACATAGTTTCAACCTAGTTAATCATACAAAACAAATTCACTTAGTATCGTAATATCTAGTACTAATAAATGTTTCACCTCGGAAGCAAGCTCTGCAAAATACACGTTCTCTTGTTTACTTTTCTAGGAAAATATACCTATGTATTTGTCGCTATACATACGGAATAAACTTACAGATACAAATAACCTACTGCGAACTTAATAAACTTTGTTTATTCAGGAACAAAATTATAGAGGATATTTGTATAGAAATAACTTTGAAAATTTAAAATCGCTACTTTTAACGCAAAAGTTGCGTGCAACAGTTGAATAAATTAATGAAATCACTGTTGCCTGTTACTTCCTTCGTAGTTTATCTATCCTACAGGAATATTTATTTTCAGGATAAAAAGTATAGACTACTTTTTATCCGAGGCCATTCTATTTCTGTGACACATTTCATCAAGACACGTTCATTCTTACAAACATCAGTAACGGACATTCTTTAAATTTTTTGTAGGATTCAGCTAATACAAATATTAAATTACACACAAAATATATTATAAGAAGCAATTGTATTAATAATATTCGATAAAAATCGTACAAAGGACTATTATTCTTATCAATGTTGATAACAAATTGAATGAACTAATTTATAATAATAATAGAAGGAAAATATGAAAACTTAGCATCAAAATATGAATATATTTATTCGTGCATGTTTTTAAACTGTTCTTTAGGTAAAGCTGTGTAAACGTTTCAAAACTTTGGAGTTTTCTACTGTAATAATGGTGTAATAAAGTTTAGACTAAACTTAATGTATTATCAAACAAATAATTGCCTATAAAACAAATAAACTAAAATAATTCCAGAGCATAAGGCATAAGGCAAAAGCTTTATTCAACTTTCATGAATCGTAGTTTTAACTAAAAAGCATAATTGAAAAAAAGAGCTTACTTTCATAAAATTTCACAACACAGAAAGAATGGAAAGAAATTAATAATCATATAAATATCACAGTAAATATAAAATTCAAACTCACTTATAAAACCACGTGCTAATAATTGACACGACTGACAATGTAATGTCGGGAAACAACCACCGCAAAGTCTAAACTCACAATCACGAATGCCGTCTGAAGAATCGAGGAACTCTATTTTATGAAAATAACGATATGCTTCAATCGAAAATAATCCTTATGATTTGGAACATAAAGCCGCAAACACCGAATGACGTGTTATTTGTAAATAATCACGTTGAAACCGAAAACATGTTGCTATTGCATTCATCCACATGATTTATGGAGTGTTGAAAAGAGGAAGGCGATAGTTTTACGCGCATGTGCATTAATATAGGGTGACAAAACTGTCACGAGGGGAACTTTTTGGAAACTAATAATATTTTTTTATCTAATAATATTTATAGTGAGGATAAATAGTTTTTTTTATAAAACTAGGTAATAGAATAAAAACGTAGAAATAACTGTGATAGATATTATGTGAATTACGGATATATTTTATTTTTATGTACCTATTTTAAATAAAGATTGTAAATAGCAACCAGTTTATTTATCTTTTAAAAATTAATTAGTGTTATTTATAAAACTGTTTCGTAAAATTATAGATAAAAAAACTTACCGATACATTCTGGAACAGTATCATTCCATCTATTATCATCATAGCACCATAATATCCGCGCCCTTTGTCGTGTGTCGATGAAAACAAAATTCACATCACACACGTAGTGCGCTACATCTTCATTTCTATACACAATGTAGCCGTTAGATGGCGCTGATACAGTAACACACCCTAAACCTGTTGATGAAATAAAGTTATACAGTACTAATTACCACCACAACACCGATGTCGTTAAACTTAATAAAATATAATTAAATCATTTTCTGTTGTTCTGACACAGATGGCGCTTGATTCTGGTTGAGTAAAGTCAAAGCTATGTTAAAAAATGACAAAAATATTTTTATGTGGTTATGACAGCCGGGCACAGATGGCGCTTAAATCAATACGTTACACAAGCAAAAGTAAACATTCGTAGTTATAAAAACCTCGGAAAGATGGCGCTGTAAGGGACAAAGAGCTTACACAGTCATCACACAGGAGATTCAAAATAATAATGTTTACAAAAAAGGAAATAATTTACTTACTTTTATAATGTAACAACACGCCTCTTTTTGGGAAGGCGCCCTTAGATCTAGCTTCAACTAATACTTCAACGGTGTTTGTTACAGAGAGCAAGCGTAATGGCATTTCAACTTGATCACAGCTGCTTAGAAGAGAATCGCCGTTTGAATCATACACTGCCACATAATCAGTGCAGTTATTTTCAAATGGGCCTATACCTGCAAACATACAATAAATATTGTTCTAGACTTCGGAGTGTTTAAATTACATGTAATTTAAAAAAAACAAAAACAAATAATATCAATGAAATGTTCTTTTATGATAAATTGAATTTTAAAAAAAAGATTAAATAATACTTTGTTTCACAAATATATTTTGTATCTACTACAATAGCATGCATTAATAACTGATTTAATCAAATGTAATAAGCTTATCAAAAAATTGCCCAACTTACTGAAAGTTAGTCTTACACGAAACTTAATTTAAAAAAAAAACACTTTTAATCGGATTACAACATCTTACTGTAGAAATGTAATTTCTTGATATATGTCGTATAATATCTTTAATTTAAATTTTCTCGTGAGACTAACCGAGCGAGCGAAAACCAGTCTATAAAATTGAACTTACTTCTTAAACTAACATCAAGCAAGGTAACTCGTATTCGTTGTTCCGGATGTGCCCGGAGTTTCCATCGGCACTCGTCTCCGATGTAGAAGTGCGGATATCCGG